TAAATATATTATTATTATTATATAAACTGTAAATATATTATTATTATTAGATAGACTGTAAATATTAAAATATATTAATATTGTATTTTTTTTATCAAAGATATTAAAACTTGTGAACAGAAGATGAGAAAAAATATATATATATTTTTCTTACTAAAGCTTTGATGAGAAATATGAAAGTTTTGTTCATTTTGTTCAGATGACTTTATTCAGAATCATGTTGTGTAAAAACTGTACACATATTAAACAGTGTGTTTAATATTAATACATAGAAACACAAGAAAATGTTCTTTAACAGGTTTAATAGGGGACTTCAGGACCTGACGGAAGCCTGAGAGAGGAGGACGCTCTGCGGGGCGGAGCCTCAAGTTGTTCACACAAATCAGTACAATCAGAACGAAAGTAGTGTCAATGTGCCCTTCAAAATAATACTTTTTTATTGTTACTAAGCTACTAAAGACATGAGCTGTAAATTATTATTTGATCATTTTAATTTTTATTCATTTAATGTCATTATGCAACACAACAAACACACGATAAACAAAACAAAACCCGAGTAAAATAAATACATAGTTTTGATACACATATTTATATAATAATTTTAATTAATAAAATAAATAATTACACAACATAAGTGTTTATTATATTAAAGATTGTTTTTTCACAAGTAAAAGTAAAAGTATCATCAGTAAACATCAACTTCAAGTACCAAATGTGAAAGAATAATATATATTATATTAAAGTATTATAATTATTATATATTATATTACAGTATTATAATTATTGAGATGATCGCTTTAAAGCTTTGGGGCAATTTTTTATATAATATATAATAATAATAATAATTTATATAATATATAACAATACGTCATCATTTATTATTTTATTGTATCTCATAATGAAGTAACTAAAGTTAAAAGATATATATATATATATATTTTATTATTCCCGATGAAACTGAAGAACCGGAGATTTTATTTTGAAGGTGACGACAGGAAGCGCTTGTGTTCATTGTCACTGACGTCAGACGGCGTGTAGGGGGCGGGGCTTAGCGGACTCCTCACGGTTGTGGAGCAGCGGGTCAGTCTGGACGGAGCGGCAGGAGGACGGAGTTAGAGCCGACTCTCTGCATCTTTGTGACGGACTCACTCCTCACTGCTGCCGCGGGGCATGCTGGAATTCACCTGGAGCTGGACCCAGACTGGACCCGACTGGTCCCAGACCGGTTTACCGGATTAATTTCCCTGTGAGTCCGCAGGAGGACCGTGAGACCACCGGTTGATACTTGGAGCTTCGGAGACCAGTCTGTGGATCCGGGTCTGGATCCACTTTCTAACCCGGGTCCGTGTAACCCAGGATTATCTTCCCGGGTTCCTGTAGACCCTCTTCCGGACCCTGATGCTGCAGAGACCCTGAGGTCCCAGCGGACGGTCTGACGGACGACATGCCGCTGTCCGCCACCAGAGCGGCAGCCTCCGCGGAGGCGGTGGAGCGGCAGCGTCAGATGCGGCAGCGGCTGGAGGCCTCCGTGTCCGGGCTCGAGGAGCTGGAGCACCTGCGGCAGCAGCAGGAGGTGCTGGTCCGGGGGGCGCTGGAGCTCCGGGAGGAGGAGCAGGAGGAGCGGCGGAAGGAGGAGAAGCTCCTGGAGGAGAACATCCTGCTGCTCAGGAAACAACTGGTAGGTCCTCACCTGTCTGCCTCATGACCTGTCACCTCTGTGAGGAGCAACTCAGGTGTGTGAGGTCAGAGGTCACGTCTAGAACCTTAGACACGTGATATCAGCTGAGCAAGAGAAGAGGAGGAGCTAAAATACTCAAAGAATTCACTTTGTTGTCTTTTTCATAACAACGTTCAGTTTTTATCATAAAATCTGTAAAAAATAGTTTGTTTTAAATGTGGAATCAGAAGAAAATGAAAAATTAGTATTTGTTATATATATATATAAA